GCTTGTAACTGATTTCTGTCGGTTAACGAAATTACTCCCTTGTAGACTTGATTTCGTAACGTAAATCACGTTTTGTATACCTTGATTTCGTTACGAAATCATGGGCCAGGCCATTCTCGTAACGGACAATCCAGTCATCGCGACAACTTGGCGCCCCCGCCCCCCCGCCGGCCGCCCGCCCGGCCGCTCATAATTGGCCCGCAACTCACCATGCGCGTCGTAGCGTGTCCGCAACGCTCACTGGCTGTGACGAATCGGGCTGCCTCCGCACGAGCCCGTAGCCTACGCTCGTCGTCTAGGAACTCTCGGTCGCGTTACCGAACGTGACCTGGTAAAATTTCTTGCTGTATGATCTGGTCCAAATTACCATTTTGCTATGGTGATAAGACTACATAAAATGCTTTTAATGTTGGTGTGATCAGTAATATTCCGAGTACTGTCAAGGTGAGAACTATATTCAGCTATATTTAGTTTTCTGAGGGCAAAAAATCGGTTGTAATAGTAAGTTGTTAAAATGGTAGTTCATCCAGTTCTCCCAACGCGCCCAAGTTCGCTGGCTCGCCGAACAGTGCACTCACCGGCGCAGACAGCTAGTACAGCGACGTACACCAATTACGTGAACCTAAATAGAGCTATGCGCCATGCGCCATTGCGCAAACTTAGTGCGCAGCTACGGTCACAGGATTGCAGTAAGCAGTTGACACGCTAGAGCTGTAATTCTGATGAACTGGTTGTGTGTGCCCTAAGTTAGCCGCTGTCTTGCGTAAGGGGCTAACTTGGAGCGGGCCAGCACGTATTTTGGAGGTTGGATAGCGTGTCAACACTGCAATATTTAGCGCGTGGTTAGACGAGACGTCTAAACGTGCGTCTAGTTTAGTATCAACTACGCCCATATTCAATTTCGTAGTCGGGTAGGGTATTATAGTATGTTTCTCCAGTGTCCAGAAAATAAATGTATAGCTATATATTATTTGTCCAACTGTGCCTGCGGCAGCCATGGTGCAGGCCAGCGTTTGTTGACTGGGACGGCGCATTGCAGGAAATGTGTTGTGCAATAATCGCGCAAAGAGAGGTATAGGAAACTAATGTAGTAAATAGATTTGCGTATACTTATCGTTTAGCATTAACTACTATATTGTTATTGGAAACGCGCCTCAAGTGCTGTGATTGAAAGTTGTAAACCGATCATATCACATATTCATATAACACGGTATGCTATCGCCTACGCCGCACAGCACTTGGGACGCGTTTGCATCAATAAATGATTGGTTAATGAAATACAACGTGTGTCAGGTACTAGACTACCAGTGTACAGTACCAGTTATCGATCTACGCTCCCCCTATTTGTATAGTAATAGTCTTTATATGTTGTGATTGACCTAAATTAACTTCACTTCAATACCGTCAATATACCTGCTCAACCTACATAGCGCGACAGCCTCATCTTGTCATGCACAGAATAACACCAAGTACTCAGCACAGTAGGTTACGACACCTTTATATAGCTAGTATACAGTATAACGACCAGTATAATAAACACAACCTACCTACTGTGTCATTCTGATGCACATGCACAATGGCCGTGCGCTGCTATGTTTCGAAGCGGTGTAATCCTGCACGGTTTCGAAGTCAAGTCTATTCAGGTGCAAATCAAATATTAATGACCAAACAAAAAAAAAAAAGAAAAAAAAAAAAAAAAAAAAAAAATAAAAAAAAAAAAAAAAAAGAAAATGAAAAAAAAAAAAAAAAAAAAAAAAAAAAAAAACAACCAAAAAAAAAAAAAAAAAAAAAAAAAAAAAAAAGACAAAAAAGAAAACAACAAGAAACAAAAAAAAAAAAAAAAAAAAGAAAAAAAAAAAAAAAAGAAGGAAAAAAAAAAAAAAAAAAAAAACAAAAAAAAAATAAAAAAAAAAAAAAAAAAAAAAAAAAAAAAAAAAGAAAAAAAAAAATAAATTAAACTGTACTGTACGGTCGGTAGTAGCTAGACAAGTTAGCTATTTATTAACCATCATTTTATTATTGAACGCCCAAGTGCTGTGCCTACGCACGCTACGGCGGGCATGTTTACAAAATTAATACTTGCCAATACAATAGTTGCTTAACTTTTTTACTGCAGCGCCTTGTGGCGTCCTAGAATCACGTCTCCCCTAGTTGAATTGGGAGTAGCTAGTACTAGTAGTTTAGACATTCTCTTTCACTTGACGCCATATAACTTAATATTTTCTAATGCTAGGCCGGCAGCACCCGAGCGACTTTATCGCACGCGAAGGTCGCGGCAAATTAAAATTGCCAGCGATTCTTAATTCGGACCCGACTCACGAAGGGCCAACGTAAGCATTTTTTATCGCCACGATCCACCTGAAGGGCACCACGTGAACGTAGCGAATTTGAGAGCGCGTACGCGTACGTCCACTCGATTCGAATCATATTAACATCACAATGATAATCAACAAGCGACGTCCGAGTTGTTAGAAAAATCGATCGGCGACAAAATAACCCGTCAACGCGACATCGACGATAATAATCGGCCCGAGCCTAAATAATCGCTCCGAAAATATCTAACATTTTGCGATAGCGGGCGATCTCGGTCGGCCATTAAAATCGCGTGACGTTGCACGGCACACGGCGTTCTATCGAGCGATTTTTCAAATTTCGCGGCGATCGTGCGAGTAAAAATCCGCTCGTTGCCCCTACCCATAACACAGATTTATAAATAAAACGTGTTGCACTTTGTGTGTGCATGACCTCGGCCTGAGAACAATATATACAAATTACAATGTATATATATAAATTATGTATGTATATATTGTTCTCAGACCCCGGCTGCAAACTCCACGACAGATGGCGCTTTCGCTCTGGCTCAATTCTACTATTCTAATTATCTATCTATATTATCTATCTATCTCAATTCTACTACTTCTACTCTATTATCCTGAGTCTGGGAAGGGGCACTGCATGCAGTTTGCCCCTGCTGTTGTTGTTGTTGTTGTATAGTGTGTGCATTGTGTAAACAATAGCATGAACGCGAACGCGCAAAGCAAGGCACAAGCGCAATTTTTTCGTACCATATACTAGAATAGAAAATAAAAATATAATAGAACTAGCGGCATACTCGGCGTTGCCCGGGGAAATCAGTGGCGTTACTCAGCTGGTGACCGCTTGGTTGAAAGAAGAAATACCAAAAAAATCTAAACTATCTATCTATCCATGCCATTGCATCCATGCCGATTCCATGCATCGTGCGCATCGCACCGCATCCCATCCATATCCATCCCATCTCATCAGCATCACATTCAGTGCATCCCGCACTATGCCATGTCCATCCGGCAATCGCCATCCCATCCCATCCCAAAGAGTAAAAATAATAAGAAATCAAAAGATAAAGACATTAAAAAATAAAGAATAATAATAAACTAAAAATATAATAAATTTAAATAAATTAATAAATTAAAAATACTATAAAAATTAAAAAAACATATCCAGAGGTAGGTAAAGGGAAAAAAGGAAAAAAAGGAAATCTAACTATCTAATCTATCCATGCATCCATCATGCCTCATATTGCATGCCATCCCATCCCATCCCATCCGCACCGCATCCCATATCCCATCCCATGCCTCCAGCTTCCCTATATCTCGTTCACAGTTTCAGTGTGCATCCAAATGCCATCCCATCTCATCGCACCGCATCCCCATTCCCATCGCCATCCATCCGCATCTCAAACAGTAAAAAATGTATAAGCAAATCAAAGAAGATAAAACATTTTAAAAATTAAAAATAATTAATAAACTAATAAAACATTTAATTAAATTAATTAATTAATTTAAATTAATTTAGAAATTTTTAGAAATAATACTAAAAGAGGTAGGTAAGGAAAAATATGAAAAAAGGGAAATAAGTCCCCAGCTGGGACTCCGCACCCTCAATCCATTGTAGCAGACGGATGTTACTGATGAGCCCCACTGCATCGCTTACGTTTATAACACCAGATTCAGACGCGATTTGTGTTACTACGTGAACCGAGCATCTATGATCCAACTAGAGATGTTTTATGAATGTTTAACTTTTTAACTTTTTTAAATTTTTGTTTCAGCCAGAACCACCTCCCAGACGTGCTGATTCTGAAAATATATTTAGTTTTCCTCTAGGCTGCGGAGTTTTCTAGTTATGCACGAACACATTAATTCGGCGGAACAACTTTATATATATAGATAGGTATATAATAGAAAAGCCTATTTCAATGGAAAACGATGCCCTAATTTGATAGCAGTTATAATTATAACTTCAGATTAATGAGTCTCAAGGGTCGAATCCATTTTCAGTTATCTTCTGTTGTGCAGACTTGACTAATATGTTTATCCCACTTTACCCCAGATGAAATACGGGTGGATACAAATTGAGACAGCTCTCTGACAGCTTCTTGTTCCATCATGGTTGAAGTAGATTTAAAGGCTTGCAAGACATTTCGACTACCAATACACTCATTTATTCTAACTCTCCCCCAACCATAGCTCCAAGAAACGGTCTTGCTAGGGTTAGAAGACCAGACTGTATAGATTGTATAGACAATCGGTCGCACAGCCTGGTCGGGCTACCCCAACCAGTGATGTGTTTCAAGTATTCTGCAGGGTGGTGGTTTCTGAAAGTTCAGTTTCTGAGCTTTCAGAAACGGCCACCTCGCAGAGTTCTGTTATAGCAACCAAAGATGAATAATACCAACCTCTACATTCGTATTGAAGTTGTTTTCACAAAGTCGAAAAAAGTCATCCTCTACACTATAATGTGCAAAACATTTCAACGGCTATATTTTAGTACAAATATGCGCACAAAACAGACATATGCTTCCCAATGGATAGGACTGGTATTTCAAGAGAGCAATAATAGTGGTATATGTTCATCTCTTTAACGTAATCATATTTCAATGTGTCGATGATATAAGTTATGAAAAACTATATTGGCTACTGATATATTTTACAGATATATTTTACCGATGTATTTTACAGAGGTTTGAGATGGGAAAGTTTAGCTGCCTGCATGCCGTTTTGGAAATCATTCAGACTGATAGACAGGTAATTATATTCTCTAATCATATGGACCTAGAAGTGGCTCTGTGTTCGTGTGACTGAAATGTTGCTGTTTCTAATACCCTTATAAATCATATGTGGTTTATATTTGTACGTACATTTTCAATTACCACTTAATACCTGCATAGAGTCATAGAACATATTAATTAGCTATCATTATTTTAAGATGAGTTATATTTTCGTTGTCAGTGCGCAAGTGAAATTTAAAATTTGTCTGAATCTTGTCAGATAAGGTATTCAGGTAAGGTAGCATTGCATTTCTAGTTTGATTTTCATAATGTATTGTATTTCAGAAATGCCCTGCTGAGCTGCAGAGGGCTGCAGTAGAGTTTGTAGCTGCTTTATGGACTGGTAGACGGGAAACAGCCATGACTGTACTCAGAGAGAAGTAAGATGTCACTGTGCAGTGAAGGGTGAAAGAAGGGAAGAGGGAGAGGGAAAGTGAGGAAGAAGGAAAAAGAGAAAGCGTGACAGCGGTAGAAAGAAAGAGCGGGAGAGAGGAGGGATGGAGAAGAGAGAGAGAGAGAGAAATGATGGATGGAAGATGGAGAGGGAACGAGAGAGAGGGGAGAGAGAGAGAGAGAGAGAGAGAGAGAGAGAGAGAGAGAGAGAAGGAGAGAAGGAAGAGTGAGGGGGAGAAATGGAGAAGAGAGAGAGAGAGAGAGAGAGTGAGGGGAGAAATGGAGAAGAGAGAGAGAGAGAGAGAGGGGTAGAGAAATAGGGAAGAGAGAGAGAGAGAGAGATAGGCGAAGAGAGGAGAGAGGGCGTGCGTCCCGGATAACCCACAGCAGAGGTCAGAGAGAGAGAGAGAGAGAGAGAGAAGCGAGAAGAAGAGAGAGAGCAAGATCAGATGGCAGAAGCAGATGAGAGAGTAGCGAAGTGAGCAGAGAAGGAGAGTAGACAGCAGAACTCGCATGATGAGATTCGAGTAATCGAGGCAAAGGTCGATCGGAAGCTAGAGGCAGCTCATCGCAGAGATCAAGCAGGACGGCTAGCATTATCATATGCTTGCTTTTACTGACGGTTGCGCAGTATTTATTTCATTGGCAAGAAGTCGGACGACTACTGCGCTACTTAATGTTAGATTCAGTTCAGTCAGTGAAAACATGTGCGTCTGTACGCGACTGTGCTCGCAGAGATGTGACATGTGCTAAACAGAGGTGAACTGCGCTGTAACTTTCCCTGCACTTGAAAACTTTAGCCAAGTACATTCAGACCCGGAGCCGGCTCTGGTATATATGTACGCTAGTTTGTTTTAATTCACTTCAGGTTATCGTCTTGGGGCTAGACAATGATAGTTTACATCCTGCCGGAATACTTCATGTTTCACTCAGAAATTTGATTTGAATAATATAATAGTACGATTCTGGTGATATGGATCTCTGGTATATTTTTGGTCGTCTTTCTGGAATATAATCATATTAGACATCTCAATCATTGATTTGTGGTTGTCCTTTGTAGGCAAGCTTTTAGTGAAACCACCTCTTATGAACAGGCAGCCTGTCCATAAGGTCAATGCATCTTATTGGCATTGTCGTGAGTGGCCCGAGTAAGGTTTGAAGAGTGATCATATCAGTGTATACATTACGCTAATTTATGATCCAGTGCGCTATTCAGATAATGCGTTACTTTGCATACATAACTGGATAAGGAACCTAAGAGACTTCATGAAGACCTGATACAAAGGACAATCGATTGTCTTCGTGGTCAAGATTATTACAGAGCACAAGATGTGACGAGGCAGGCAAACCAAGATGATCGCAAGTCCATTACTTCTGTTGATGCGTGGCGAGACGTTTTTTTAATATTGGCTCGGTAACATGCTTTTCACATTCATCATCATGCCCACATGCGTTCCTCTGCATTTGTGATCCAACTCCGCTCTCTGTACTGATCGCAATCCTTCTTTTCTGTTTGTCTTTCCATTCCTGCTTTCTGGATCTATCCATCACATTTTGCAACTCTGACGAGTTCGCTGCCCATTCTTATCAGCTGTTACAATTCAGACAGTCTTTGCAACGAATATCTGATTTTGAAGATTATTTCATTGCTCTGAAATGCTATAAAGGATTTTCGCTCTTCTGCTAGGAGGAAATTTCATTCCATGCAGAGCTGAAGGCTCACTGTGAGTGATGATGCTTGAGTCGCTATCGTGCTCGTCTGTCAGATGACGCAAGCGGGTTGATGCTCACCAATTTCTCGAGCAGATATCTCTGTCTCATGTCGTGGTCAATGGTAAAGTAGTGTTCTTCCTATTCATTTCCAAACAATTCAAATTTTTTGAGTTACTCCTGTCTAAGAAGATAAAGACACATCTTTATATTTTTTGATCAGTCTTGCAAACTCCTCAGTTTTGTATCTGTACGTCAAGGTTCATGTAACTATGTCGAATTCGTTAGCTGGAGCATTGTTTTAGAATCTGATGCGCAACGATGGTATGCCCTTTTTTTTTTAATAGAAGGCTGCCTATCGATCATGGCGAGGTGGAATAGATTAAATTAATATAAGTGAATACCTAGACGCAACTATACTCGTCTGTCTGAATTTGACATTCTCTTTTTAATTGATTAAAAAAGTACAGTGTATATCTTATAATAGATGATAACATACGTTGTGCAGAATTATCCAGGGCAGCAGTCGTGATGGCAGCTCGCGCATCCCGCACGATATGTGTTGTCTCATCGAAACTACGGTGCTCATTCTAAGATACAGTGCTGCACTGCTCGCAACCATGCAACGGTGTGCGCAACCTCCCCAAGCGGATGGAACAGGAGGCGAGCCAACTGGTGGATCGCGATGCAGACTCTTACGCCATACTGCTACAAATGCACGAGGCGATAAGCGAGTCTACACTAAGGAGAAAATTTAATCATAATGTAATATAATCGTTAATTATATAATTAATTGTAAAACTATTATTAATTATTTAATTATTTATATATTGTTTTCTTTTAGCTTTATAGAGCTGAGTAATCAATCGTTTATTATAAGTTATTTCGGGATAAATAAAAAGAGGAAGTTGTGGATATGCTTTACTATACAGGAAGCGTGGCCATTTTATACATATTTATTCACTGGAGATAATACATGAATAGTCATTGATGTACTCTCTCGTCTGTGATGGCGTTTGATCATTTGGTCCTAATAAGCATGATGCGTTCACATCGATGATTCTATGTGTCTGTAAAAGCAATTGTCAGTTCAACAGGCATGTTTCTGTGGGGGAGTTAATAAATACGCATATTATAAGTAACATATAACATAAATATATAACTAATATACATTATTATATACATAATTATATACATTATATAATGAGTGTATAAGCCCATCCCGTTGGTTGTCTTATTGTTGTCAAGCTGAGACGAGTGAACATCTGGTTTGCTGAATGACTGATAGCTAATAATAGTGTAGCAGGCTCGCACGTGTCGTATGTTTGCAGTGAACTCCATGCACCTCTGCTATCATGCTGCGCATGCATGCAGGGTAAGCCCTATGTGTTGTTTCATTTGCGTAGTCACAGGCAGCGCTTTGGCTTTGCCTTTCATCCAAATATGTTAATTTACAAAACGTTGTGTCAAATTGTTTCAATCATTTCACATTGCATATTCACCATTCAGCATTTCTATCCATCTCCAAGGTATAGTAATGCTATAGTCTTCTATCTCTGATAAAAAAAAAAAACTACCACAAGTCGAATAAGATGAGATAATTTAAAACCCATACGAAATTACGCTTAATACCATCGCAATGGGATATGAGTTGTATATAAATGATGAAATAATTTATAAATTTAGTTTAATGTTAGATATTACTATGAATATTCTTTTATTCTCATTTCACTTCGGACTCCTTCATCATTATAATCATAATTAATGAATGTATGTTATGATCCGACATATAGTGTGCTTTTACGTGGCAACGAATGTTCGTCGCTGTCTTTGCAGAGGTGTGACGTGAAGAACAGGTGGGAGGGCCATCATGGAGTGCTGCGGCGTTTGCCGCTGTGCCACAGCAGCTAGCCTTGCCAGCATGGTCTCACGAGACTCTGTGCTCCTCTGCTGGCGCCGTATATCGTCAAACCCC